TTGCTGGCAATATTCCAATATGAATTGGAAGCAAACTGTGACACCAAACCTAGTCGTTGTAATGTTATGCTTCAAAAATAATTTGTTTTAAATGTCTTGAAACAGATTTAAATACAAGGATCTAGATTGTAAAATATTAAGATGAAATGGTGTCCAAAAAATTAATTTGTATATGGTAAATTTGTTTTAAAGAATTCAGTGACAATAAAATTATATAAATTAAATAGAAATACTATGTGTATTTTTGTATGTGGAAACTTGGCTGGCCCACTCAAAAATATAAAGATGTGAAATCTGCAGTTCCTTGTTTTTTTAATGTTATTATTTGTGTAAAAACTGGTATTTCACAGACTGCAAACAATAAAACACTCACAGTGCAAGGCTAGTTCACCGACATGTCTCTTCTCTTGCTTGAGTGTGAAAGTACATGGTTTAATGACTACCTCTTATGTTTTTAAATATGTTTTTTTTTATTGATTTTTATGATTCAAGTGTATTTATTTATATGATTCAAGCTATTTAGTTATCGTTATGAAAAGATGTAAGAAAGAAATCTCGTCATAAATGGAAATATGCAGAATGTGTCCATTTTGCAATAAAGTTGCCCTTAAAATGTTTGGGGTCACTATGTTTAAAGAGATTTGGTTGCAATTTTAGCAATTACTGTGGCGGCCATCTTGTCAGTATTAGCATGATGTTATCATTGGTTTCTATGGCGTATGACGCCATATTTTATTGTTGCCTGATGAAAGAAGCGAGAAGGGAAATTTTAATTTTTTTCTAGATTTTTCAAAAATTTATAAAACGGTTACTTTAGACCTTGATACATCATCCCAGTTTTTCAAAAAATTGGTCGAAAATATTAGTATTTACAAATTATGAAAAATGCTACACTGTAAAACATTCTGTGTTATATAACTGTTCTAAAAATAGTACTTTTTGAAAAATATTTGGTCAATTTTCTGTAAATAGTACCACACAGTGAATGTCATCTTCGTCAGCCAAAGAACGTTTGTTTCGGGTCACCCCTCCAAATTAAGCCTTGGCAGATTGAACCACTACAGTGTGTATTTAATAGGTGCCCTTAACGAGAAGGAGGGGGATGCGTGAGCTATCTTGTATCAAAATACATTAGGTTTTTTTTTTAAATAGCGATTCAAGGAGAACAGATCACGCAGTTTTTCAAGATGAAAAGCCCCACCTATCACCAAAACCATGCAATTGAGGCATTACTAGCTGAAAAAGACGAGTTTGTTGCAACGAGGACGGGGAGTGGCAAATGACGAAATGT